CTCCCCCGCCAGTGCCTCTCCCCGCTCGCTGGCTTTTCGCCAGGAAAGTTACTCGGGATCATTTCATTTGCCCACCCCCTCCTTCCTCTTCTCGCGGCAAAAGGCGGAGAGACCAACTCATTTCCCGCTCGCAATAATTCTCTCTCGGTCTCCCCTTGTTCTCGAAATCGACAGATCTGCTGCGATCGTGGTCCCGATTGATCGCCGTGCTTAGATTTGGTTTTTGAGAAGGAGAGGAGAGGAGATTTTTTTGGGGGTGTGAAGTCGATCAAAGGGATAATTAATGGCGTTCAGTGGAACTCTGCAGAAGTGTAAGGTTTGCGATAAGACCGTTTACTTCATGGACGAGCTGACCGCTGATGGAATCTCCTATCACAAGGCCTGCTTCAAGTGCAATCACTGCAAAGGCACCCTAAAGGTAAATATTCTAAGTTTTTTTTTTTCTTTTTTTTTCTTTTTTCCCACGAAAGATATTTTAGTCGATTTATTTAGTTATATTTGTTAAAATCCGAGTTTCGATCGGCTGTTGTATAGATTTAGTTGTATCTGTTCTTTTAGCTGATCCTGATCGATGGCTTATGTTCTATTGATGCCGTGATGAGATTCAGGGCAAATGTCAGAACGACTTTGTGTTGAGAGGCACGATCCAGGATCTAAATAGGGCAATCTATTGGTTGGTCTTTAAAGTTGTCGTATTAATGTACGTGGCACGGGATCCATTCATCTCAATTTGCCTCTTACGTCTTGGTTCGGTTTCATCTCTACCCTGCCCTTCGACCCTGCTCTACTTGAACGCTCATTGCAAACGGTCAAACCCTCAAAATCAATTCTCAATTGAGCTTATTATCCTTAATTGAAGCTACCCTTAACTTCTCATGGATGCATTTGTTTCGGTATATATCAACGCATTGCGGGTAAATTCTCAAGATAGATCCTATTAAGAATTTATTTTAAAAAAACGGCCCCTTTGATATTTAATAGCCATTTCAACCTAGTTTCAGCCATCTGGATGGCTGAAACCAGGTCGAAAAATGGCAATTCAAGTTCGAAAACTTTACAAGATTTAAAATCCCGTGAAGTTTAGTGTCTGATTAGTGACGCTAATGAAAAAGCCACCCAAATTTCATGGGATTTTAGCATCGCTAATCAGACACTAAATATCATGGGATTTTAAATCCCGTGAAGTTTTCGAATTTTAATTGCCAGATGGCTGAAACTAGGTTGAAAATGGCAGTTGAATCTCAAAGGGGTCGTTTTTTAAAATTAAATTCCTAATAGGGTTTATTTTGAAAATTTGTCCACGCATTGCTGCTTACCCCATCTCACCTTTAATTGCAAGTTGATAATTTAGCATTCGAGATTTTCCTTGAATGGTTTGCTACACTACCACCTGTAGCTCTAACTGTCTCTATTGGTACCTGCATTTAAATGCGGCGGCTACTTGGTGTCAACTTATTATATGAGAGAGAATGAAATTGAAGGGTGGTTTCATTTCAAGCAATTCTAGATTGATTGCTCATGTTTAATTTTGTTAGCAGCGTGCAATGTGGTTCATCACCAATAAAGTGTGGTTTACTTAATTAATTAACCATGAGTTAGGCTTCATATGACTCTCATTAATTATATAAATTGGTTTGTTTCTGAATTGGAATGAACAAATGCTTGTAAACCCTGGTGGCTAACTAAAAAGAATCCATGAGGAATGAGGATGATCCTGAGTGCTGTGCTGGTAGCAAGGTCTCATAAGTTTCAGTCTTAAGTCTGTTTCTTGGTCCTAACATCTGGCTTTCTTACTAAATTACTAATAATAGTTGGTACCTCCTACAGGTATGCCATAAAAACCTATCGACCTGCCATGTAACCTGTCAACCTCCAAAAGAAAGAAATTCATATATTGTTAATATTTCCTTTTTTTATGTTCTTTCAATCGACTCTATGGAGGTGAAGTTACTGCTTTCAAGAAACCTTTCTAACATGAGCCATAGAAATCTTTGTAACTGCTTTCAAGAAACCTTCACTTGCCAGAGCCAAAGGCATCTCACTGCAGGGCCTTTACATGTGGGTTTTGGTACACTAGTTACGGAGAAATTGGGTTATCAGAAGTATCCGATCACAACAATATTTGTCTTCAGGGTAACTGTCTATGCTATTTAAATTTCGAAAAGTTCTTGGAATGATCAAATCAGTGCATGACATATCTTATTCCTAAAATTTAAAGTAACATCATGTTTAAAAAAAAGGTTTGCTAATGGTTTTGGTTTTAATAAGATAAGTGACAAATCGGATTCCAACTTCCACTGGATTGAAATACTACATTCGTGTCAGACAAGCAACCCTAACTATCAAAGATAAATCTCTTTCTCAAGCGCAAGAGCTTTACATATGTGGAAACAAATGTCCATATTCAGTCTGCAAATTGTGAAGAGCTACCTAGTATGTAGGGTTAGACGTAAAGATTGTGAAAAAATAGAAAATGGAACGAATAACATAGTGCGTATGTTTTTCTGCAGCTAAGCAATTATTCTTCAATGGAAGGTGTTCTATATTGCAAGCCACATTTTGATCAGCTCTTCAAAGAGACAGGCAATTTCAGCAAGAACTTCCAGTCAGGTACACGTTCTTCCTCTGGTTAGAGTTACCTAAGTGATATTTCTGTCACTCTTTAACTCTTTTGTTTTGATGCCAAACTATTTGTTCTCCTGCGGTTGCAAAATCAGCTGAGAAGCTAACTCCAGAACTAGTAAGTTCGATGTGGCATCCTCTCTTTTACTATTTAGTTCTTTTTCTAGTTATACTTATGATTTTGACTTCTTCGTTATTGTTTATAAGTCGTGATTCTCAGTCTGATCTTAATTTAGACAAGGTCGCCTAGTAAGGCTGCTGGCATGTTTTCGGGGACACAAGAAAAATGCGCCACTTGCAATAAAACAGCATACCCTCTTGAAAAGGTGGGTCCCCTATTTCCTTAAGGCAGGGATATGGTTTTCAGTTTGGTACTAATATGTTTGATTACGGCCCACATTGTTCGCACTTCTTGACTAATTGCCTTTGATCATGTGCAGAATTTTGCATGCCATGGAATTAGTGTTTCTATATTGATTTAAATATAAGTTTTGAGGCTGGTTCTTGGTCAACAATTCAAGAAGCCACACATCTATCCATTATTAAAATAGTCCATTTTTAATGTATACAAGGTATCAAGATTACTGAATCTCTTTCTAGCTATTCACTCCTCGCGGTTCCAACCTATGGGAGCCCTATAAGAACCTATTAAACATAGTGCGGCCTAATATTCTGTTACTAATTTTAATCCTTAATTATAAATATGATTTTCTTAGTCTTTGTGAGCTATGCGGTAAACAAAATGCTGATATAATAATTTCAACCCTGTATTTATTATCTGTGTGATTAGTGATCCATTTGATATATAAAAGTTTTCCACTTTATTGATGTATTAGTTATGACGAACCAACAGCTATCACGTGTTTGCCCTCCGTAACGTATATAGAGGTTCGGACAAGCCCTCTAAACCTGCAAGCTCTCATCTCAGAATGAAGCATAAATAATGGCTTGTAAATATCACTCAAGTGAGACTAGACACAAGAAATTTGTGTGTCAAACACTTCAATAAAGATAATAGCCTTCTTCCAGCGTGTCTAAAAGCTACCTTACCCCTTTTTTAATATCTATATCTTCCACTGCAGTGATATCTAATTTTTTTTCCTCTGAAACTTTCCTCTTGAACTTTTTGTAGGTGACTGTCGAATCACAGGTATATCACAAGTCCTGTTTTAAGTGCTCCCATGGAGGCTGCGCTATAACTCCCTCGAGCTATGCAGCACTTGAAGGCATCCTCTATTGCAAGCACCATTTCTCCCAGCTTTTCAAGGAGAAGGGAAGCTATAACCATCTTATTAAGTGTGCTTCCATCAAGCGCACAGCGAGCCCTGCTCCAGAACCGTGATATTGCATTGCTCATTGAGAGTAGAAAAAAAAAATTCAAATATTTTCCACCATCTATGCTGGTTATCCTTGAAGTCGCAGCCTTCTGCTTTGTTTTGTGTTGCTTGCAAGAACTATATGTAACAATGTGTGCTCTTATCTGTTGAAATGTCTATGATGTGTGCTTTTAGAATGGTTGTTGCAATGGTTTTCTGTGCTGATACAATGCGGTATTGTCGATAATCATCTACTTTGCTAGGATCCTTGGATTGTGCACTCTTTTATGATCAAGTTCAGTAACGTCCTTTCTTCATCTTCAAAAGTTGTGGCCTTCATTTTTCCTAGTTGTAATAAAAAGGCTACATTGAGAATGAACATATGTATATTTTACCACATTGAGAATCTTCTTATTGTTCATTGGTCTTCGTGTTGCAATTTGAAGAATGGTAATTGTTTGTTATCATCATTATTATTATTTGTTGAGAAAAATAGTTGGGATTATTATTGTTTATCATAGGAGAATGTTAAAGGGAGTGATCCTGATTGCAATGCAAATGTTGTATTATTTGGATACTACGAAACAAAACCCATCTCTTTATAAATAATTATTCTCAGCCATCTAAAAATGGTAAATATATAACGACGCTGATGTAGCGCGCCCCGCTCAATTCACTTTATTTTCCAAATTCCGATTCGATTGCCGCGAAAACTTGGCGGGGGAAAAACAATCGTTTCCTCCCACCGCCTCCCGCTTTTTAATAGCAACAACCCCCCCTCTTTTTATCCTCCTCTTTCCCAATTTGCCCCTTACTCCTCCTCCTCTCGTTTCTCCCCTTTCGCCCTTCGTCGGTTTTTACTAGGGTCCGAAAATGTTCGAGCTGAGGTTAGTCCAGGGCAGTCTCCTGAAGAAGGTTCTGGAATCCATCAAGGATCTGGTCACCGACGCCAACTTCGACTGCTCCTCCTCCGGCTTCTCCCTCCAGGCCATGGACTCCAGCCACGTGGCGCTCGTCGCCCTCCTCCTCCGGTCCGAGGGCTTCGAGCACTACCGCTGCGACCGCAACCTCTCCATGGGCATGAACCTCAACAACATGGCCAAGATGCTAAAGTGCGCCGGCAACGACGACATCATCACCATCAAGGCCGACGACGGCGGCGACACCGTCACCTTCATGTTCGAGAGCCCAAGTAATCAATCGACCTTTCTTCTCCTCCTTCTTCTTCTTCTTCTTTACCCCCCCTCCATGAACCCTAGTAGAACCCAGACTTTTGGGGGAATTTGCTATTCCTCTTCTTAAATTTGTTGGCTTTTGGCTCTTCGACAGATCAAGACAGGATCTCTGATTTCGAGATGAAGCTCATGGACATCGACAGCGAGCATCTGGGGATTCCAGACGCCGAGTATCAAGCGATCGTGAGGATGCCCTCCTCAGAGTTCTCTAGGATCTGCAAGGATCTCAGCAGCATCGGTGATACCGGTACATAATTTTTTGGTAGAAACATGGCTGTTTTCCTCTACATTTCGTATGATAGCGATCTCTTCTGCTGTGGTTGTGGGATTGCAGTTGTCATCTCAGTGACGAAAGAGGGCGTGAAGTTTTCGACGAGAGGGGATATCGGAAGCGCTAACATCGTCTGCAGGCAGAACGCGAGCGTCGACAAGGTATGCGTTGCTAGTTTTATTCCCGTTATTAATTGATTTTATTTTTGTTGATTTTGTCGCGTTTTTACTTGCAGCCGGAGGAGGCGACAGTTATAGAGATGAACGATCCCGTGTCGCTGACTTTCGCTCTGAGGTACATGAACTCCTTCACGAAGGCCACGCCTTTGTCGGAGACCGTGACCATCAGCCTTTCCTCCGAGTTGCCTGTTGTTGTCGAGTACAAGGTCGCGGACATGGGTTATATTCGCTACTACCTGGCGCCGAAGATTGAAGACGAGGACGAGGAGATGAAACCATAAGCTTTGTTTTGAGATTTTACCGTCCCCTCTCCTCTCCCTTTTTCTTTTTCTCTTTTTCTCTTTTTTTTTCCCTCCTGTTTGCGATGGTGTAAGAGGGCTGATCGTTGAAGATTAGTTATGTTCGTCTCTGATCTCTTATTTGTTGTTCTCTTATTATGCTCTTTGGCTTTTTGGCTGCAAACTGTCTCATTCGACTCTTTTATGTATGAACTCTGGTGACGACAAATCTCACATTTTCAGTAGGAAGAGAAGTTTTCCTTTGTTTAATGAAAAAGCTGGGTTTAATAAGATACACAAATGCTTCTTTTTAGTAGGAACCCTAATATTGATCCGATGCATATAAATGCCTCGGGTTTCAGATGTCTCGGATTAAGAAACTACTCCGCTCACAAAATTATGAAGAGAGTCAGCTCACAGTTGCAAGTCTCATTGTTACACAAAACGAAGGTTTGAATCTATCCCTTGAGAATTTGAACGCGATGTGGTTCCTTAACTTGAACTTAACCCCTCTTCAAAGTTCCAAAGAGCTATCTAAAATTTAAAGACCATGAACTGTATAGAATACTACAAAACTATTGCAACTAAAATTAAAGGATTGAAAGCAACAAAACTTCTCAAGGTCCGGCATCCAAATCATTTCAAACCACAACCTGTTTGAGACATTTCCTCCATCACTAGAAGTAACTAGTAAGTGGTTATATAGCCTAATTAATTGTCTTGGTGTAGACAGTTTACCGACTTTACTCTATAAACACTTCACCTTCAGATTACCACCTTTAAAATGTATTTTCATGACCGAACAATCATAATGAAATTACGTTTAATACAGTTGTCAAACATTTTTATGCCAGAAGGAAGTGTATATAGAAGCAAGAAAATCCTACAGTCTACAAAATATAATCAAATGATATATATATCATTATTTAAAAATTCTTATGCTGTGAAGAATTTCATATATAAGCAAAAGTTCCTACAACATGAAATCCTCTGCATATCCATCATAGGTTTACCTTAAAATTACCACGTTCACAATACTCTGTGTGACACAATCTACCATTACAACATAACATATAGAAGCCCAAAGGTCCCTTGAGCCTATGCACATCATGAGACATTTCTTATTCGTTTATTTTTCCATAAAATGGTTTCAGTACACGAGTAGTTGCCATTAGAATGCTTCCGGTCTGCAAAAGCCTCACAATAATATTACTTTCAAAGGAGCTCAATATTTTATCGAAGTAGTGCATTGATACACGTGTACGACAACGCTGACAAAAGTGAGAAAAAAAATATAATAGGTCACATTAAAGTTCAAGCTAGAAGAGCCATGAGTGGCAGAGCACTTTGCAAGAGAATAAACTCTCATGCTATGAAGCCATATACCAAGAAATTTGCACTGTAAATTTGCATTCAAATGACAAGTCAAAATCCTTCTTGCCTCCCGTGTAGTTTCTCGGAAATTTTTTTCCAACAACCGACCTGGTTTCAGCGCTCTGAGGATAAAACCAGATCGGTTTCTGAAAATAAGTTGGAAATGGTTTTTTTTACGATTATTATTATAAACGGGATTGTTTTGAAATTTTGTCCTATGGTTTGGGCCGAGCCAACTAAGCTTCATAAATTGGGCCTATGGTTTGGGCTATATATACTAACCAAGAGGCTGAGCTCGTGATAATTGTTGCGGCTAAGAGTAAAATGGTGGTGCACCTAATCCTAAAAAAAAATTTCATAAACATATCTGAGCTTGTTTCTATCCTTTTTAAAATTATGCAATTTCCGTCATTGAATTTGACTGTTATCTCCCAATGATAATAATAAATAAATAAATGATATTTGGAAAATGTCTTTTAAGACCGGTGGCCTAAAATTTGTTAAGGCCCATTGATTGATGCGTGGCAAATTGGCAATGCATGTGACGTCTTTCTTCCCCTTTATTATATAAGAACAAATATAGATTCTTATGCGCGTGTATTTCTTTTGTCAACCATCAAAAATGGGTAGGATCATTAAGCGTTGATGCGTACGTGCGACATCAAGGGTGTTTGGCTCCAACTAGTTATCATTTTCCTTGGTTCTTCTCTTAATAACATTTGTGGGGTCATAAGGAAAAGTATGAAACTTTACCGATATCTACACCGATTTCAAAATTATCGGTGAGTGATTTAATGTATAAAACTAGGGTTACGTGAAGAAGTTTCCCGCGTACTTGCGTACTTTCTGAACAATTCAACGCCGAGTGATCGAGCCTATCCAAAGGGAGGACATGGGAAGCAAACGAAAACACCCATAACAAAATCCTCCCCCATTTTCTTCGTGATCATTATCACAAATCATTTGGCTTCATCATAATAACAACAACTCGCACCCCAAAACGTAATATTTGTCATGTAGCCCAAATGAACAATGCCCCCATGTACATAGGCGTATACGCCAAGATGGGGTGGAGAGAGTGCTTGATTCTAAAACCCATTTTGAGATTTGTCCCCAATCCAATGATATCTTTATATGAGTTATATGCAGGGATCAAAATTAGAAATTTCTAGTGCTAGTCCGTGGCTATATCACACAACCCTTAATCGGACTCCAAATAAAGTGACGGGCGTCTCGCTGGACCAAAATAGATCACGTCCCAATCATCAAACCGTCGAACCTGAAATTAGCTACAATGAACTAACCCACTAGAGGTTCGATTAATAAAAGAAAATCAATGATAAAATTTGGGACAAATTTTCAAAACTAACCCATTTAGAAACTTAATTGCAAAAATAGACTCATTTCGAATATAATTGTCAAAATCGACTCAGATTCAGCCAGTTGGCTGAAGCTGGGTCGATATTGGCGAAATAATTTACGAAACTTCATGGGATTTCATAGTCCCGTAAAGTTTCGTAACTTTTTTTTATCAAAATCGACCCAGTTTTAGCCAACTGGATGAAACTGGGTAAATTTTGATAATTAAGTTACAAATAGATCGTTTTTTATAATTAAGTTTCTAAATGGGTTGGTTTTGAAAATTTGTCCTAAAATTGGCCCAAGCCCAACCCACCCCGATAAACAAATTTTAAATTAAACCAGTGTTAGTTCCCCCTCCTTAATTGTGTAAGAGATTCAAACCGAGTTTGTTTTATAACCAGACGTGTTACACTGCCCATTTGTTGCGCAGCGCAAAGAGCATCCCTTTGTCCATCGCTTAATTTTCCCGGGCTTTTCTCCTCTCTCTCTCTCTCCTCCTCCTCCTCTCTTTCTCTCTCTTTTCTCTCTCTCCTCCCTCCCTCTCATGGCCGGGGCCAGCCCGACGACATCATCCACCAACCTCCACGGCCCCACAAGGCGGCGCTTACAAGACCTCGACCCTGAGAAAAACCAACAAACAGAAGAGGAAGAGGTTTATCAAGCGGATGATGATGATGACGATGTCGAGAGCCACGAGTACCAGCCAATTCGAGGGTCCCTTAGAGTTCTGAGAGCATTGTTTTGTAGGAAGAATGCGGGTACGAATAGCAAAGGTTCGAAAATATCGAAGGGGATGTGGTGGAGAGGAGTTATGCTGTCGTTTTTCTTCGTGATGGCGGTCGTGGGAGTTTTGAAGATTTCCCAGATTGGAGGGAGTATCGGAGAGAGGGCCAGTTTTTTGCAGCAAATGAGGAGCCATGATGATGTGTTGAGATTGAAGGAAGAGGACGAGGTCAATTTGACGAGTCTGAGGATGAGCATTCGGAAAAAGTCTCAGAAAATGGTACGTCGAAGATTTTTGTGGTGCGAAGTTGGGTATCGTTTTTCTTTTTGATAAACAAATTTTTTTTGATGACTTCAGTGATTTGCATTTCATAAATCTGCAATGTTAAAGTTCTTTCCTATTTTATTTTCATGAATACGGCTCCGCCTTCGAGGAAATTTTTCTAAATCTGTTAGCAGAGCCTAGCTCGTTTGGCATCTAAAAGAAATTGCATTTTGAAAGCTAGTTGTTAGTTAGTTAGTCAGTCATTTCCCTCTCCCTTTGTTATGGTTGGTTGTTAAGCAGTTGTCTTTCTTAGTCACCTTTTTGTATACAGGAATTGTCTTTCTTAGTAAATCCTTGCAATTTCTTATACTTCTTCCAACGTTATCTGATGGGGGACTCCCTTTGCCAGTAAAACTCCGATTTTGTTGTGCCCGCCTGCGTTGTTGAAAAGAAAAGGGAAAAAGAAATGAAAAAGGCATCTGCAGTCTGCAAATGCTATATGAACAACATGCAAACATTGTTTAGCTCATAACCATACCAGCTAATCACCACATAAGCATATCTTCATGAAATAGTTTAATCTCATCAAACTTGCTGCTAGGTAAAAATAAAACTTAGAATCTATGTGTTTTCGTCAAAAGTTGGTTTTGTCATGGAATTCATTATATCTTCGGTCGATTACAATAAATTCAAAAAAGAGATAGTCTTTTTATAAGACTTCTTTTACACAACAAAATGAAAATTACAACTCTTGAGAAACAAACGCATGATCGTTGTTTGGATCGTTGTTTGGATCGCTGCTTGCGTGGGATCTTTGCCTGTGCCGGGGGTGCGTTAGCCCGTGGACCACCAAATCACAGATTCTGATTGAATCGTGAGGGGTTTATGATTCTTCCTTCGTTTATCGAAGTGAGAATTTGAAACGATATCTTATCAAAGTAAGATAGTCGTTCTTCTTAAGATTAAGTCAAAGCTTAAATCTTAAGGAATTGTCAGAAGCTCGGGTACTCTGCCCTCTCTGCTCCGAAATCAGACTGTGGATGCTCTCTGATCAGCCCCTCCAAAAAATGGCCTTCGAGGGGTATTTATAGCCCCTATGAACAGTTGGCGGAAAACAGGCTCGCGAGACAGCCTTTGCTGTCTCGACTGTCGAGATAGTGTTTGCTGTCTCGGCAGGCGAGACAGTGTTTGCTGTCTCGGCCCGCGAGACAGTAAACGCTGTTTCGGAAACAGTAACTGTCAGGCAGTTTTTGTTTTAACTGCCTTCCCACATTTCAAACTCCGTTATTTTGGCAGTTATCCACGTGATTCTCGCCCACGACGTTTCCCACGTTCTTGAACAGTTAGTGGCCACATGTTGGGCAGTTACAAAGGCGGTTTTGACCATCTGAGAGCTGTCTCACGCGCGAGACAGTAAATTCTGTCTCGCACGGCGAGACAGTAAATTCTGTCTCGCACGGCGAGACAGTAAAGACTGTCTCGCGTGGGCGAGACAGTAAAAGTCTGTCTCGCCCGCGAGACAATAAAGACTGTCTCGCACAGCGAGACAGTCAAGTCTGTCTCGCGTGCGAGACAGTAAAGACTGTCTCGCGTGCGAGACAGTCTATACTTGTGTTCTTTTTGACATTTTGGATGACTTCCTTTTGAGATGTGTTTAGATATCTCTCAGCATTTTTTGACGCTTACAGATACGCCCTCCAAAGTATTCCAGACTCAATCTTTTATAGAGGAGTTCTGGGATGCTTTGGATAAGATAGGTATTACTCATGATCCTTTCCATGCTTGGTTAGGTAGATCGTATAGAAGAACCTGTAGATGGCTTCAACATTTGATCTCTTTGTCTCTTAGTCTATTCAGTGCTTTGTAGAATAGCTAAGATCCTTTCGGCATAGCGTTCATCGCTTGACCGTCGTCGAGATCTTGAATTGAAGCTGAAATTTGTACTTGTGAATTCAGCTTTTGTCATCAAATTGATACCGCATTGTTAATCACTGTATCAGTCTTTTTTTGGAGTTCTTGGGAAATAGTTTAACCTCGTATACCCATTGGGAGGTAGCCAGGTTATTCTTAAGAATATTTTGAGTGATATTCTCCAGAAACTTCCTGTTGATGGTAGGGAAACAGTTTAGACTCGTGTACCTATTTGAGTAATATGGTCTCTTTTTTGTTGGTAGAGATGAACCCGATGATGGAGAGGAAGAATTTTATATTCTATCTCCTAGTCTCTTATTTATTGGTAGAGATGAACCCGAAATTAGAGAGGAAGAATTTTATATCCTATCTCCTGGTCTCTTGTTTGTTGGTAGAGATGAACCCGAAATCGGAGAGGAAGAATTTTATATTCTATCTCCTGGTCTCTTGTTTGTTGGTAGAGATAAACCCGAAATTGGAGAGGAAGAATTTTATATTCTATCTCCTGGTCTCTTGTTTGTTGGTAGAGATGAACCCGATGATGGAGAGGAAGAATTTTATATTCTATCTCCTGGTCTCTTGTTTGTTGGTAGAGATGAACCCGATGATGGAGAGGAAGAATTTTATATTCTATCTCCTGGTCTCTTGTTTGTTGGTAGAGATAAACCCGATGATGGAGAGGAAGAATTTTATATTCTATCTCCTGGTCTCTTGTTTGTTGGTAGAGATAAACCCAGAATCGGAGAAAAAGAATTTTATATTCTATCTCCTGGAGTAAAGAAACTCAAAGTGGGATCTCCACTTAGAGAATCTGGATTGGTTTGAATAATCCTAACTGTCATAAGGTTTGATTACTCAATTCAAAAGTGGACCCTTCGTTCGCAAAAAATGAATCGAAAGGAGATTTTGGTTGTGGTCCTAACTGTAGTAAGGTTTGACCAAGTGGGAGTTTTGAGACGATCCTAACTGTTTAAAGGTTTGATCGTTCAATTTGTGGACCTCTCATTCATGAAATGAATCAAAAGGGGATTTTGGTTGTGGTCCTAACTATAATAAGGCTTGACCAAGTGGGAGTTTTGAGACGATCCTAACTGTTTAAAGGTTTGATCGTTCAATTTGTGGACCTCTCGTTCATGAAATGAATCGAAAGGGGATTTTGATTGTGGTCCTAACTGTAGTAAGGTTTGACCAAGTGGGAGTTTTGAGACAATCCTAACTGTTTAAAGGTTTGATCGTTCAATTTGTGGACTTCTCGTTCATGGAAGGAATCGAGAAGAGGCTTTTGGTCCTAACTGTTTAAATGTTTGACCAAGATGGGAATTTGAGACGATCCTAACTGTTTAAAGGTTTGATCGTTCAGTTTGTGGACTTCTCGTTCATGGAGGGAATCGAGAAGAGATTTTGGCTTTGGTCCTAACTGTTTAAAGGTTTGACCAAGATGGGAATTTTGAGACGATCCTAACTGTTTAAAGGTTTGATCGTTCAGTTTGTGGACTTCTCGTTCATGAAGGGAATCGAGATGAGATTTTGGCTTTGATCCTAACTGTTTAAAGGTTTGACCAAGATGGGAATTTTGAGACGATCCTAACTGTTTAAAGGTTTGATCGTTCAGTTTGTGGACTTCTCGTTCATGGAGGGAATCGAGAGGAGATTTTGGCTTTGGTTCTAACTGTTTAAAGGTTTGACCAAGATGGGAATTTTGAGACGATCCTAACTGTTTAAAGGTTTGATCGTTCAGTTTGTGGACCTCTCGTTCATGGAAGGAATCGAGAGGGGATTTTGGCTTTGGTCCTAACTGTTTAAAGGTTTGACCAAAATGGGAATTTTGTGAGGGAAGAACTGTTTAAAGGTTTGATCGTTCAATTTGTGGACCTCTCGTTCATGGAACGAATCGAGAGGGGATTTTGGCTTTGGTCCTAACTGTTTAAAGGTTTGACCAAGATGGGAATTTGAGACGATCCTAACTGTTTAAAGGTTTGATCGTTCAATTTGAGGACCTCTCGTTCATGGAACGAATCGAGAGGAGATTTTGGCTTTGGTCCTAACTGTTTAAAGATTTGACCAAGATGGGAATTTGTGAGGGAAGATTGATCTAACGAGGTGATCGAATCTCATCTCAGCAATAGAGTATTCAGAAATTGTACTCAGTTGGATAATCGAGAAGCAGTTTATACTCATATGCTCTTTGGAGTGTGGGGAAACAGTTTATACTCGTGCACCCACTGGAGTTGTATGGTCGTCTTTACTCGACTTCTTTCGTCGTTATGACGCCGGAGTCAATTAGGGCTTGGATTTTGTTTTTGAGTCCAAAGCAAATCTCGGTGGGATAAAGAACCCTTCTGTGGTACGCACAGTAGTTTAGATCCGTAATCCTCTTAGCTCCATCCCGATCTTTAATAGGTGGTAGCTCGATTTTGTCATTAGCGAGGAGGTATTCTAATATGGCTGGAGCTTCATCATCTTCGAAAGAATATTCCTTTTGAAACCTCGGATCGAGAGTCGCATTCTCAACGGTTGCAGATGTCATTGGTTGGCCTCTCTCAGCTTTCTTTCTTTTAAGAAAGTGCTCAGCTTGTTCACCCCGAGATTTTAACTCCTTCCAAGTTGTGCTCTCAGCTTTCTTTCTTTTAAGAAAGTGTTCAGCTTGTTCACCGCGCACTTTCAAATCCTTCCAAGTTGTGGATGGCACGACCCCCAGAGCTTCCAGGATATCGATGGAGAGGTTATTGTGGCATGTTTGCAGGATGAACTCCTCTGTAATAGGATCTCTGCAATTCATTGCTTTGTTACGGAAACGTTTGACAAAATTATCAACTGACTCTCCGTCTTTTTGCTTCTCATCTAGAAGGGTTCTGATTGACACTTCGGTATCATCATCGAAGAAGTTGCTGAGGAATAAACTTTCCATGTCATCCCAGCAATTGATGCTCCCTAGCTTGAGACGTCGATACCAATCGAAGGTGGGCCCACGAAGAGTGCCAACGAATGACCGGACCATTAAAGCCTCGTTTCCAGAAATCATGCCCACATGAGACTTAAAATAAATCAAGTGCTGAGTAGGCGAGCTTTTCCCATCAAATGATGTGAAGTTAATCATATTGAATTTTGCCGGGTACGGTATTGAATCTCATTCTCTTGGATAGGGACATGGAATACCCGTCTTTTTCACTTCTTGAGCCGTCATCAAAGCGTTGATTTTGTTTTCAAGCTCTTTCATTTTCTCGTCATCGCCTATGTCTTCATTCGAAGGACGTTGAGGAGAATGAGTTAGGCCATCCCCTGTAAGAGGTGCTATTGAACCACCCCTAATATCGTTATTGGGAGTGTGCGTTAAACCACCCCCAGCGTTATTGCTATTGGGAGGAGTATCAGCCATAATGACTTTATCCACTTCTGGATCACTATCATCTACAACATTCTGAGTGTGGCGACTGGATTCAGCTCGCTGACTGGACTCAGGAGGTTGAGGCCGTTGAGCTAGCAATTCTCTCATTTGTTGGATAGCTAACTCCATCTCTGTCCTCATTTCAGCTCTAATTTCTTCACGTTGTTTGGCTAGAGCTTCTTGAAGTATTTGAGTGAACTGATCAGAGGTGATTGTGAGTACTTCTCTGGTTTGTCCTGTGCTAGATACCGTATCATCCGAAGCGATCGTAGAACAAGTATCCGAGAGCTCATTCTCTGATGACATTCCTTCATGTATTCTCTTGTAGTCTCTATGTCTGATGGCTCCTAACTGGAGTCGGGACATCCGTTTGGCAATTCTTGAATTGACTTTTCCTCTCGGGGAAAAGTCAGGATCTGAGTCACTTGAATGCCGCTTAGACTTTCTTTTATCAACCATGTTGATGGTGACTTCAGGGAGTTCATCCTCTTGGACAGCAAGTTTATTGCAGAAATGTCCCGGCTTGGGCTTTGACATTTCGGTGAAAAGTCTCTGGACTATTGAGACTCTTTGCGGGATGGCTTCTCGTTTGGAGTAATCATCTTCCGACAATACTGCTCTAATGAGTCGCACACAGGAACAATAAGAGTTCATTTTTTGAACAATTCTCTTTCGAAATCTATTCAAACCCACAATTTGATAGTATGATTCATCAGTATGATTGCCGGAAAATCCTATCGCCTGTTGGTATGACCTCCCAGGCATAACGATGTCTTTTGGCGAACACATCTTCTTTTGGGGGTGTAAAACCTTGTTGGCATTCTCAGGACAAATTATTATTGCCTTTGAGCGATCCAAGGTTATTTCAGGAGTCACACGTTTAGAACCACCCCCTTGCGGGTGTGGAGTCTTAACGGGCTCCGAATGCTGATTTTGCACAACTCCAGACTTTGGAACCCAAACTTGGCAGAGTTTCGGTGGTTCTTTGGCCACCGTTTCCTTCTTCTTTTCTCGTCTTTGTTGTAAGAGAGCACGGGCATGAGCAGCGTTTGCACGATGTTTTTGTATGCGTTCTTTGAGGGTCGAACGAGTCCTTTTGACAATAGTCCATTCCTCCGTCGTGAGTTTGGCAGAGATATGAGTGATTGGTTGTTGAGACAACTGAACCACTCGATGCCTCCTCGACTCTAAGTCCGCATGATAACGAACTCCGTCGGGTTGTTCCAAGGCCTTAGCCATTTGGCGAGCGCGGCGTTGGCGTTGTCTCTGACGAGCTCTTTTCGTCAATGCCGGCGGGCTTTGATTTAATGACTCCTTAATTGGAGAAGAGTCATTATGAGCAGAGAGGTTGCGAGTAGAATCCTCAGCAACAATCAAGCGAGAGTCTTCATCTGTAGTGTTTGACAACTTCAACAAAGATGAAATCTTCCTGCATTTGAGAGGCGAGGAAGACTTTACAGATGAGGATGACAAATACTCCTCAAACTTCGCTTGGTCGAATTCGTACTCGACCGTTGATTCAACCGGGATCTTGATGGTTGGCTGCGACACGACGGTCTCGACAGCGAGACCGTTGGCTCCCACTGTGGTCGCCAGCTTGTTTGCGTCAAAAGTTGGTTTTGTCATGGAATTCATTATATCTTCAGTCGATTACAATAAATTCAAAAGAAATAGCCTTTTTATAAGACTTCTTTTATTAAGTCAAAGCTTAAATCTCAAGGAATTGCCAGAAGCTCGGGTACTCTGCCCTCTCTGCTCCGAAATCAGACTGTGGATGCTCTCTCATCAGCCTCTCTCAAAAATAGCATTCAGGGGGTATTTATAACCCCTAGGAACAGTTGGCGGAAAACAGGCTCCCGAGACAGCATTTGCTGTCTCGGCTGTCGAGACACCTGGTATTGCCTGTCTCGGGCGGGCCGATACAGTGTATTGCCGTCTCGGCCTGCTTCTCGCCCGCGAGACAGTAAACGCTGTCTCGGAAACAGTAACCGTCAGGCAGTTTTCGTTTTAACTGTCATCCCACGTTTCAAACTCCGTTATTTTGGCAGTTATCCACGTGATTCTCGCCCACGACGTTTCCCACGTTCTTGAACAGTTAGTGGCCACGTGTAGGGCAGTTACAAAGGCGGTTTTGACCATCTGAAAGCTGTCTCACGCGCGAGACAGTAAATTCTGTCTCGCACGGCGAGACAGTAAAGACTGTCTCGCGTGGGCCGAGACAGTAAACAGTCTGTCTCGCCCGCGAGACGAGTAAAAGAGCTGTCTCGCGTGGGCCGAGACAGGGTACAAGTCCGTCTCGCCACTGAAGGAAAGTAAAGACTGTCTCGCACGGCGAGACAGTCCAAGTATGTCTCGCGTGCGAGACAGTCTATACTTGTGTTCTTTTTGACATTTTGGATGACTTCCTTTTGAGCTGTGTTTGGATATCTCTCAGCATTTTTTGACGCCTACACTATGTAACTCACCTGAAACACTATCCCGACTTTTAACCTTCAACGTACTAATAGTTCTTTATGCGTAGATATGTCTGCGAACTTGTAAATGCCAAAGAAATTTTGGGTTTATTTGAGCTTAGTGTACACTATGCACGGTGCCTGGAACGAAAAGGTTCGGCAAAGGCGTCAAGGGAAATGCACACAACCGTTCTCTGCTAACTTTCTGTTAATAAACTTTTTCCTATTTGGCGATAACTTTTACTAGAATAATACTTTCGTAATTGGATCAGTTGTATGATTGAGTTATTATATTTGGCATGACAAAAAGATTCCTGAAATCTGGAGGCGACCAAATAGTGGAGGCTTTCATCAGTGCATCGCGAGGCCAAAAGATAAACTAAGTAAGTTGCATAGCTATCATTTATTCTGCTATACATATCTGCCTTCGACATCAGTGTACCGATTTTTTGACATGATCTAAGTTGCGTTTCAGGGATTCCTGGCTCAAGAACGAACGGCTATCTCGTGGTCCAAGCCAATGGTGGTCTGAATCAGATGAGAACAGGAGTACACATCATTCCAGTATACTAAATGTTTATAATTATCCAGTGTTTATGATTGTCACCATCTCATTAAGAAAGTTACTACTGTCCAAATGCAGATATGTGACATGGTGGCTGCTGCAAAGCTGATGAACGCAACGTTAGTTCTTCCTAATCTCGACCATTCTTCCTTTTGGACAGATCGAAGGTATTTGCTCTTGTATTGTAATTCATAAATGTTCACCTTCCAAAGTTTATGTTTTTTTATGTATCTTTTGGCTTTGACCATTGCTCGGAATCCTCTGCAGTAACTTCAAAGATATATTTGACTGGAGAAACTTTATAGATGTGTTAAAAGAGGACATTGAGATAGTAGAGTCTCTACCAGCCAAGTATAGGAAAGTGAAGCCCTTTGTAAGGGCTCCTATTTCCTGGTCTAAGGTTGGCATCTGGACTTGATCTGTGCATGCTAAATGGGTGCATGCTTTACTTGAGTATTTAACTAAACCAATCTCCTCTTCCGCAGACTTTTTACTACAAAGGTTTTGAGAAAATTCTGCAGAAATATAAAGTGGTGAAATTTACTCATACTGACTCCAGAATTGCAAACAATGGCCTTGCACCCTCACTTCAGAAGCTCAGGTGTCGTGCAAACTACAGGGCCCTTCGGTATACACCACAAATCGAAGAACTGGGAGAGACCCTTGTCAGGAGACTCAGAAATGGAAGTAACTATTACATCGCCCTCCATTTGAGGTAAGTTAAAAATATAATCATTGTCCAAGAAACATAATTCAATATGACCTTCTTTTTAAAGGATATGGAGCAAGCTTGATAAGGTTCAACATTTTTTTTCCCCTCTCATAATGACAGGTACGAAAAAGACATGCTCGCTTTTACCGGTTGTAGCCACAACTTGACATCACAGGAAGCAAAAGCGCTCGAGGACATGAGGCACCATGTCAAGCACTGGAAGGAGAAGGAAATCAATAGCACAGAGAGACGGATATTAGGAGGTTGTCCCATGACGCCGCGAGAGGCTGCTGTTTTCCTAAAGGCTATGGGGTATCCATCTACAGCAAACATTTACATCGCTGCAGGAAAAATTTATGGTTCTCACAGCATGAATGGTTTAAAGGAAGAATACCCGAACATCCATACGCACCATAGTCTGGCAACGGAGGCGGAGTTAGCTCCTTTAAAAATGTACCAAAATCGGCTTGCGGCAGTGGATTATATTGTAGCACTCAATGGCGATGTCTTCATGTATACGTATGATGGGAATATGGCCAAGGCGGTGCAGGGTCACCGGAGGTTTGAAGGATTTCGTAAGACCATCAATCCTGATAGGTATATCTCAGTGGTATTAAAATCATATATACCTTCTTTTTTTTCTATTTATTTAATAAGAATCTCTCAACGACCTTTTAACTGTTTGATATCCATCAGGGAAACATTTGTCAAACTAATAGATCGACTAGATGCGGGTATCATAACTTGGGAAATTTTTGAAAACGAGGTGAAGAAGCATCATGCTAATAGGCTTGGAGGTCCCTACGAAAGGAAACTCGGAGAAAGCCCGAGGCTAGAAGAGAACTTCTACGCAAATCCTCTTCCAGGATGCTTGTGCAAATCGTGAAGAATTTTAAAGAAGCTTTTACGAAAAAAGCATGGATACTTTTTTACGACGGCCAAGCTTTATAGGATTGCAGGGGTATCCTCTCCCTAAAGATCATGCAACCCCCTTGCAAGAGAAAAATGTGAACAATCTTTAAACAACTCAGATGCTTGGCAACTCCAATCGTGCAGTTTCACCTACATGAAGTCGGATCCACAATAGAGTTTTACATTATAGAAGATCGATCATTTGTAGATAATTTTTTTTTTTAACCTTACAAAGAGGAGAATACTACAAAATAGAGAAGGTGAATGTACGCCAAAGAGTGATCCTTCACTGAAAATAGTTCAGGGTTTTGATTCAAATTTTTTGATTTGAACTCCGGTTGATTTTGACAACGAGATTTCTTTTTTGCTTTAGGGAAAAGGGTTATCTAAACTTCGAACGGTGTATAGATCTTCTTTGTGGGACTTTCTACACGAAAGATTTCCGTGATTGCAATTGTAAAATCATTTGATATGGTAGACATATGATAACCAAGCAACGTCCATTAGTATTGACTTATAGTTCTCATTTAACAGATTTTTTTTTCGAACAGTAATTCGCAGACCCCAAAAATTTGGGATAAAGGCTTCGTATTGTTGTTGGTGCTGCATCTTTAGCATACACGGTTACTTTTTAATCCAGACATGGTCAACTGATGATACTAACACTACTACATAAAGAGGCATCCTAGACGGAAAATTCCGTCTAGGATATCCAGAATTCCGTCTAGGATGTGTATTCTAGACGGAATTCCGTCTAGAATACGGGTCTAGTATGTTTCCGTCTAGAATATAGTATTCTAGACGGAAATTCCGTCTAGAATACATCCTAGACGGATTATTCTAGACGGAATTCAAAACCGTCTAGAATACATCCTAGACGGATTATTCTAGACGGAATTTTCCGTCTAGAATACTTCATCCTAGACGGAAAAAAATTCCGTCCAGGATGGGTATCCTAGACGGAAATTTCCGTCTAGAACACTCATTCTAGACGGAATTTCCATCTAGAATGTTTTTTAAATTTTTTTTCAAAAAACCAAGCATCCTAGACGGAATTTGAGCATCCTAGACGGAATTTCCGTCTAGGATGCTATGCTACAGTTTTTTTTTTTTTTGCAGAATCTATTCTGAGTGCATGTACACAATATTTATCAACAACAAATTATATTCGTAGCCAACACAATCAAATTATATTCCAATATCAAATCCAATTATATTCAAATAATATATTCACCAAAATAGTAGAGAGATACATAAATTGTTTACAAACTTTTACATAAATTATTTACAAGAGGTTCTGTATGCTCCATCGCACAACATTACGCACAATTCCTCCATCAACCCGATCTCTACATTGTTGTGTATGCAAATTAAAACTGATGCAACCAATAAGTATCTTACTTCCCAATGCCTGCAAAAGTTCAAGACAAAGGTGATACATATGACAAATTTTCACTACAGAGAAGCACATTCATCTTCAACGTATTTCAGAGTGCCCAAAAATGCACAAAGAAGATAACAAGCGAAATCAACCAAGACACCACTGCCTAAAATGGTTGAATGAAAGAAGAACAGAGCAATAATCTTCTGCATCTTATGATAATACTTCAATGAATAATCGGGATATAGCTGTATATTCACAATTGCAAAAGAATTATCAAGCATAGTAAAGAAATTAGTTTCCAATGTTAACCGGCACATAATAACCTAATTAGTTTATGTTAGTATTTGTTTGTAAAAAACAAGATAGTCCCACATTGGAATTTTGAACATTCTTTTAGAGGTTTAAAAGCATTGAATGCTTATTGGGCTTTGAATAATGGATCAAAGTGTAGGCTTCTAAACCCGCGTGCGGGTAGCGCAAATAATACCGCTTAAATGTTCTATTTTTTATATATATAATTATATATTGAATATATTTTATTTTAATGTTATTTTGAATTTTAAAAATTATGAAAAGACAAGTGACTGTTGAAAAGTGGCTGTTTGTTCCAAGGGGTGTTTTAAAAAGTTGTGACTGTTGGAAGCACCTTTTAAAAATTATAAATAGTTTATGTTTTCAGATATCTATCAACAATTCTTTTTCTGAATCTTTTCTATCAAAAACTTCTGCAATATTACAAATTTGTTTCACAACGAATTAAGGAAAATTCCAGATTTGCTTACTGGAATAGCATTCATTCGCAACCCAAAAAAATTCACCAAAGAAAAGAAACATTACCTAGCTGGTCCAGTTCAAAAACTAAAGGCTCCACCCCAGTCCTCCTGAACAGCAATTTCACCTCCATTGAGTAACTTCAATCAGCAGCCGTCAAGATGATGTTTCTTCTTACAGCATTGAAGATCTCCTACATTCTCAACCCCAATCTGCAGCCCATAGAAGATCCAAAACCAAGTGCAGACGGCAAACAACCTACTGAGGAGGAAATAGAAGAAATCAAAAAGCAAAAGGCAAAACGGGAGGAAGATGAAGTGTTGTGTCGCGGTCACATTCTGAACACACTTTCGGACCGATTATATGATCTTTTCACGAGGATAAAGTCGGCAAGGGAGATCTGGAATGCACTGGAATTTAAATACAAAGCCGAGGAGGAAGGTACAAACAAGTATTTAATTGCAAAATATCTAGAATACAAAATGGTTGATGACAAGTCTGTCCTAGAGCAAGTTCATGAATTGGAGGTTCTTGTTAATAAGATTCATGTTCTCAAAATAGTTCTTCCAGAGTCTTTTCAAGTTGCTGCAATTATTGCAAAACTACCATCAACTTGGAAAGATTACTCGAAGAAACTAATGCATAAAACTGAGGATATCTCTTTGGAACAACTTCAGAAGAATCTTAGAATTGAAGAGGAGTCACGCATACGTGATTCGAAAAATTCTGTCCAAAGTGATTGTAAGGTCCACACTGTGGAAAAGAATGAATCTTCGGTAAAAAATGTGAACCTTCAAGTAAAGAAAAGTGGACAACACTTTAAAAAGAAGAATTTTCAGAAGAAAAAGGGGTCCTGTTTTATTTGCGGCAAGCCTGGACATTTTGCTAAAGAATGTCGTCACAGAAAAAATAATAATGTAAAATCAAAGGCTTCTGCAAATATGATAGAAGAGAATCTGGTCGCTATGATTTCTGAAATCAATATGGCTTCTGTTAAGTCTGGATGGTGGCTTGATTCTGGAGCAACAATCCACGTTTGCAAGGACAAATCCTTGTTCAAAGGATTTGAAGAAATTTCGGAAATTACAGAAGTGCAAATGGGGAATAATGCTTGTGCAAAGGTTGCTGGAAAAGGGACTGTTGATATAGATTTTACTTCTGGAAAGAAATTGACTCTTATAAATGTTCTGTATGTACCCGAAGTTAGAAAGAACTTAGTTTCTGTTGATCTTCTTTGTAAGAAAGGGTTTCGGGTTGCTTTTGAGTCAAATAATGTTATCCTGTCTAAGAACGGGATGTTTGTGGGAAAGGGCTACTCTTGTGATGGAATGTATCAACTAAGTATTAATAATAAAGTTATATCTTCTGTTTATATTGTTGAGTCTTCATATTTATGGCATGATCGCTTAGCACATTTAAATTTTCGCTATTTGAAAAATATGAGAAAGTTAGACTTCATTAACTTTAATGGTGAATTTGATAAATGTGAAATTTGTGCTAAGTCTAAATTAACAAAGAAATCTTTTCCAAGTGTTTCTCGCAAAGATTCTAAAGTTTTAGATTTAATACATTCTGATATATGTGAATTGAATGGTATGTTAACTAGAGGAGGAAAAAGATACTTTATCACTTTTGTTGATGATTGCAGTAGATATATGTATGTTTATCTTTTAAGAACAAAAGATGAAGCTTTTGATATGTTTAAAAAATACAAAACAGAAGTTGAAAATCAACTTGAAAGGAAAATTAAAGTATTACGTTCTGATAGAGGTGGTGAATATTTTTCTGATAACTTTAATACTTTTTGTGAAGAACATGGCATTATTCATCAATGTACAGCACCTTATACTCCCCAACAGAATGGTTTAGCCGAAAGAAAAAATAGAACTTTACAAGAAATGATAAATTGTATGCTTAATAATGCTAAGTTACCTTTAAATTTATGGGGAGAAGCTTTGTACACAGCATGTTATATTCATAATAGGATTCCCTCTAAAAAGTCAAATATAAGCCCTTATGAGTTATGGAAAGGTAGAAAGCCTAATCTGTCATATTTTAAAGTGTGGGGGTGTTTGGCTTATTATAGAGTTCCTGATCCTAAAAGAACAAGTGCAGCGTAACAGCGGGGGGTTTGACGGGCTAATTTTTTTTTTAAATAGGCACATATCCTAGACGGAAATTTCCGTTTAGGATACATTGCAGACGGAAATTTTCATCTAGGATATCAGGATTTTCAGCGTAACAGCGGGGGGTTTGACGGGCTAATTTTTTTTTTAAATAGGCACATATCCTAGACGGAAATTTCCGTTTAGGATACATTGCAGACGGAAATTTTCATCTAGGATATCAGGATTTTTTTTTAAAAAAAAATAAAAATAAAAAAACCGTCTAGGATACTATTCTAGACGGAAATTTCCGTCTAGAATGCATTATCCTAGACAGAGTATTCTAGACGGAAATTTTCCGTCTAGTTTAATGCATTCTAGACGGAAAAATTTCCGTCTAGAATATTCCGTCTGGATACGTGAAATTTTACTTAGTGTAACCAAGCAAATGCAAACCCAATTACCAAAACAACTTCTAATTTATCGAGGACGGAAGATCAAATAAATGGCCAGTGTAAAATGTCTCTGAGAAGTCTGTCAGAAAAAACAAAACTATTGATAAGTGCATGAGAATGCAAATATTATTCGGGGTTGCATAACAAAACCTGGAGCTGAATCTTTCTTCAATACTGATAACTGATCAGTAGATGATTAATTTGTAAACCTGAGGAGCTCAATCAATGCAGATTCCTATATAGTCTGAGCTTTTCGGTGAATGCCGTATTTGTTATAGAAACAACTAGGACATATTTACTTGAATTCTCAAGTTTCACACTTTCAGCTAGTTTTTAAGACTAAATATTGCTAAAATTATGAGAAATTTGCATAACTTACGTTCTTCTCATAATTAAACAATGAATTAGAAAATTCGCTGCGAACAATCCCAAATATGGTCAAATTACGGTTTGCTTACTTTCTAAACGCGCGAAATTGTTGGAGTTGCAGCAGCTAGATGGGTAAGTAATTTTTTTAGTTTCAGAGGATTGAGAATAGAGGAAGTAGAAAGGAAATGAAAAAGTTGGAAGGGAAGAGACTAGCTTGAAGAAACTTTGTTTTAATTGATTCAAAGCTTGTTCTCAATGCTTACATCCATTGCCTATTTTTATAGACACATATAGAACTATCTAAAGCATAGATATTTTACATGAAACATTCTAGATTATATTATGATATTCTTATATTCTAGATATATCTTATTTTTGTCATATTTTTAGTCCTAATTATCTTTAGAAGATTTCCATATTACAAGGTTATTGTAGAGTGTTTTAGAATAACAAATTATTATCTAATAACAGAAGTATCCTTATACATCAATACCATACTTCCACATGAATTAGAGTGCTATTTCCTCACATTTTACCTAATTATTATACTTCATTAATTGTGTTCAATCTAAACCAATTGAAAAAAAAAATTCTTATAATATCTATGCAAGCACAGCAGCATCCATGGCGAAAGTTCGAACATGGAGAGGAAAGAAGCGCCTTTTGAACCCTCATTTAAAGTGTTATTGGGCCTACTTCCCTTCGAATTAGCAGTCAGCCCAATTTAAAGTTAGGCCTAAGTGGCCCTAGGGTCCAAAAAACCCATCACTGTAAATTAATTTCCAGAGAAAAGGCTCGTGAGAAGGGGAAGAGAAGTCGCGGGCTCCGACCTAGATCGCCGGACCTAGATCGCCGGAGTTGCGCTCGTTCTGCAAGATTTTCGAAGCTTTCGGCGATTTCTTCAGGTATGCATTCTAATAACTCGGGAAGATCTGATTGCTACCTAACCGTCGACAGGGGAGGATCTACGTACAGTCGGGGGGGATTAGGGTGCTCTATTTCTTAACCCTCTACAAAATTTTGGGGGAAAAAAAATTAGGGTGCTCTATTCCTAAAAAAATTAGTTTGTGAATATTAATTATTTGAGGGTTTTTATGTATATATTAATAGTAAATATATTATCATGAACAGCAACAAGATTAATAAAGGGGGTTTCATTGAAATTGGAAATTATGGAGAGGTATTTAGCGAATGGTTATTCTTAAGGGGGTTTGTTAGAAAATGGTTATTCTTAAGGGGGTTTATTGGAAATGATATATTAATAAAGTGAGTGAAAGTTAAAACCCTAGCCCCACACACACTACCACAGACTTGTGACGAAACTTACGAAAGGGGGGGAGGGGGCGGAATCTAGACGACTGACGAGACGACGACGACATTAAAGGGAGGTGAGGTGCTCAGGTTCGTGGTCCTGCGGCGTGGATGGAGATGGATTAAGCAAGGTTAAGGATCTAAGGTACAATCCCAATTATCCCATCAATACCTTTGTAACCTTTCTCTCTTAATTCGTTATGTTTTGCTGTTTCGGTTTCAGGGTATTTCTTGGTTTTCAATTGTATGATTGTTTCTGATAGAAAGATAAAATCTTGTAGGAGAATTTATTGTTTTTTTTACCTTTCCAAGTGGGCTTTCTTGGTAATTTAGGGCCGTTGTTCCCTTTACGTGGTGCCGTGGTGGATTGCGAATATTTCTCTCTCTTTAATTTAGGGTTTCTACTAAAGCTTACAGTAGTAGATACAAGTGGTGTTAGGAATTTGGTAATGTTACTGGAATGATATGGTTAGTGGAATGATATGGTTGTTCGGCTTAGTAACTTAAATGTGTGATTTTCTCTCAAAAAAAAAACTTAAATGTGTGATACTGTGATGAGTATTTGATTGTATATTCCTAATATATATATATAAACTTCACAGGTCAGACTGGTCAGTGATTAAATTTGAAATAAAATGGGAAAATCTGTTACAATTGATAATTTTTTCCAAAGGAAGAGAGGAAATGAATTAAGTCCTGCTGCTCCTATAACCCCTTCACTAGCCTCAAATGACAATGATCTTCCATTTGAAAATCCTCCTAAAAGATTTCAAAATCCAGATGGTGAAGAAGTTGATCTTAATTCCTTAGAGCGTGATCCAGGCTTGCGTCGACAAATATGGGAATACCCTCTTGACCAACGGGAGGAGATTCGTCGAGCATATTTGAATCTAAAGGCATATCAACCTATTCTTCAAGATTATCCATTAAATAAGGATATTAAGCATCCTCGAAGATTTCAATTTACTTGGTATGAGCTATTTCATTGGTTGGAGTATTCACCGGCGAAAGATAAAGCATATTGCTTTCCATGTTTTCTCTTCAACAAGCCATCAGGGTGCAAAAATCAAACTGCTTTTGTTGTTGATGGTTTTGATAGTTGGAAGAAAGTTCGAAGCGGAAAAGCATGTGCTTTCCTAGGCCATATAGGAAAAGATAATGTATCTTCACTCCATCGTAATGCTGAAAAGGCATGTGAGGATTTGATGAACCAACCGCAGCATATATAAAGGCGATTCGACAACTTCAATGCTGAACAAATTGCAACAGATCGTCTTCGGTTAAGAGCTCACATACTTGTGGTGCGATTGCTTGCACTCCAAGGGATTTCGTTTAGAGGCCACGATGAGAAATCTAGTTCGTCCAATCGTGGCAATTTTCTTGAATTTTTGGATGTACTGGCCATGGAGAATGACTAACTTTCAAAGGCAATTGTGAAAGCTCCCAAAAATGCCAAATATACAAGTCATGATATTCAAAAACAAATACTTCATGTGTTTTCAGTGAGATTGAAAAATGCAATTCGTGAAGAAATTGGAGTTGCCAAGTATTGTATCATTGTTGATGAAGCCCGTGATGAGTCAAAAAAGAGCAAATGTCTATTGTGTTACGGTTTGTGGACACTAATGGATTCATTCAAGAACGTTTTTTTGGGCTTGTTCATGTTTCTGATACTGCAGCTTTGACTTTAAAGAACGCCATATATTCTGCTTTGGCTCATTACAATTTGGATGTTCAAAATATTAGAGGTCAAGGTTACGATGGGGCCAGTAATATGAGAGGTGAATTCAATGGATTGCAAGCTTTGATTATGAAAGATTGTAAGACTGCTTACTATGTTCATTGCTTTGCTCATCGGCTACAGTTGGCTCTTGTTGCGGCAGCAAAAAATCTGACTCCCATTCATATGTTTTTTGATAAATTAATTTCTATAGTTAATATGGTTGGTGCTTCTTGCAAGCGTAATGATGAATTGAAGAAAGCTCACGTGGATGACATTGCCCATTTGATTTCTATTAATGAACTCGAGACAGGGACTGGACTTAATCAGATTGGCACTTTACAACGAGCTGCTGATACGCGTTGGAGTTCTCATTTCAGATCATTATCAAGTTTGATCAGGATGTTCAGTGCAGCATGTACGGTGTTGCTCAAAGTTATGGAGGATGGGCTTTCTTCCCAACGAGCTGATGCAACATCTGTTTATGATGAAATGACTTCATTCGATTTTGTATTTATCTTACATCTAATGAGTGAGATTATGGGGATCACAGATTTTCTTTGCCAGACTTTACAAAGGAAGTCTTAAGACATTTCGAATGCAATGGAGCTTGTGTCATCTACAAAAAGATTACTACAAGAGTTAAGGGATGACAAGTGGGATAATTTGCTTGAAAAAGTGAAGTCTTTTTGTGTGGCTCGTAACATTAATATTCCTGATTTTAGTGCTCAGTATGTTGATAGACGACGTCGAGCTCGTGGTCATCAAGACATCACCATTGGGCAGCATTATCGAGTAGACTTTTTTTATGCCGCGATCGATTCACAAATGCAAGAAATTAATGTGCGTTTTAGTAAAGATGCGACAGAATTGCTCATGCTTAGTTCTGCCTTAAATCCTCAAAATGCATCTGAGGCTTTGAGAATACAAGATATATGCAAATTGTTTGGCAAGTTTTATGCACAAGATTTTACAAGTGAAGAAAAAGAGAGTTTGAAGATGCAACTGAAACATTATGAGCATAATGTAGTCAAAGGGTCAGACTTCAAAACTCTTTCAACCATTTCTGAGTTGTGTTAATGGTTGGTAAAGACTAATAAATCTGCTACATACGACCTCATTTTTAGAGTGATCGTACTTGTGCTTACTCTTCCAGTTTCTACTGCTACTGCAGAACGATCATTCTCAGCTATGAATATCGTCAAGACTAGGCTTCGAAGCAAAATGGAGGATGCTTTCCTCTCCGACGTATTAATGGTATTTATTGAAAGAGAAATTGTTAAAAGTCTGAGCATTGATGCTATCATTGAAGACTTTGAAAAATTTAAGGAACGTCGAATTCCTTTTAGTTAGAGAAATTTTAGTTATAAAAAAATAGATGATGCTTATTTGACTATTTTCTATATAATATTTTTGTCTTCCTCTTTTGAAATATTTTGGAGATATTGATGTTGGCTATTTTACTCGTTTTATTTGGGTTGTGGTATATCTCTTGTGAATAAAATTACATTAAGAAAATTTTTTATTTATCTTTTGTACGCGGCCCCCCAGAACTAAAATCCTGGATCCGACCCTGACCGTCGATCGAAGTTCTTGAAATTCTGTATTCAGCAATTGACGCATTTAGGGTTTCTTTTTATTTAAATTTAAAGTTATACTCAGGGTTATAATTGTTTTCTCAGTTTGTTCTTCTCTTTATCAAATACAGGGGGCATGCTAAATATATTTATTGGCTGAGTCTGTGATTAAATTAAAGAGGGAAATGGCAAATATTAGGGATAGAACTGAAGATTTCAAGGATGCAATTCGTGTTGCGGCTCGCTCTCTTGATTACTCCGAGGTTGGTGATGGATTTTAAGCTCGTTGAATTTTATTGTTATCAATATCTCAAACCCTAGCTTCTGTGAGAGTTGGTTATGCAAAATTTCTTATAAAATTTTGTTTTTGATAGTCGAAATTGGCGGCAGTTTTGGCATGTTTCATCATGCACAGGCCTCTACAGAGATCCGCCTTCACTAAAGCTGCAGTCAAAACTGTATGTAACTAAAGCCGACATCTTGGTTCTTGTAGTATTTCAATTATTATTATTATTTCCAAATTAACTGTATTTTTGTCTATTGAGACTGAAGTTTTGCATTGTTTGAAGCTTGAAAGCATCAATGAGTTGGAACATTTTATTGTGAAGCATCGGAAAGATTATGTCGATTTGCATCGCACGACTGAGCAGGAAAGAGACAACATTGAGCATGAAGTAAGTTACTACTCAGTTGTTTTCCTTGGTTCTCAGTATCCACACTCCAAAACCAAAAGAGAAAAAACTTGAGAAGTTGTTATAATTTCTTTGAATAGCTGCTTGTCGCCATGCATCTTCCTTGTGAACATTTCCAGTCTAATGATATAAATAGATTTTTAGGTTATGATATAAGAGTTTATCTTATATCTACTTTAAGTGAGAGATTTGAATATATTGGTGTGTAATTGGCTTTTCTGTGTTTTGGATTAATTTAATGGAAAATGATAGGGGCACACCCCCAACCACAACCTCAACCACACCCCCTCTCATTTGCTACAGTATACCGGGTCCCACATGGAATTTTAAATTTTTAAAATCCCATGTGAGACCCGGTGCACTGTAGCAAATGAGAGGGGGGGGTGGTTGGGGGTGTGCCCTAGTGCCACCCTAATTTAATACCCTTCAGCTTCCCTGTGGTTTGGTACACAGGGGGTAACCATGACGTAGGCCAAGTTACAGTCCAAACTGAGCCAACAGATGTTGAAACTTGTGGAATTTCACTAGGTGTGCGTCAGTTTCTTAGGATTTATAATCCCCTAGCTCTCAAAAGAGGCTATTCTTGTAAAGCGTAAACTTTTCTTGATGCCTGCCTTTGAGATAAATACAAGGAAATTACCATCTTCTGTTGGTAATCTCTTATCATTACTGTTTCGCATGTCACACGGTTTAGTGTGTACCAGGTTTTTCCTACAACGGAAATTTCGCTGTTTAGTATTTTTCTTCAAGTAATTAAAGTGCTTTCTTTCAGGTTAGCATTTTTGTCAAAGCATGCAAGGACCAGATTGATATTCTTAAGAATAGGATATATGATGAAGAAAAGAATGGGAATTCAACCAGATGGCTTTCTATACGGGATGATAGCTCTCATGCTGATACTGTAGCTCACAAACATGGCGTGGTATGCTGTTAGTAATTGTCAATGCATGCATTTTTTTAAGGTTAAATTATTAATTAAATGTGCATCTCTACGTCAGTCAAGGGGATTTAGTACTCAATCTTTCTACATCATGTTATTAATGCTTTACTTCTATCCATATATTAGTGCGGTGATTGATAATGCTTATCTTAAAACATAGTGATGGATAACTTTGAATGAATTTAGAAAAAAGAAAAGTCGAACAGGAGTGCTTCTGGTTGATGTTGTAGTTACCCGATGTATAGGTATTCATTGATCTAATGATGTACATGTTTGCACCGTGCTTGTCTATCTTATACTAAGTAATGAGAAAGGGAAGCTCAACTTGTCCTTCGTCATATTTAAAATTCTGGGAGAAAAAAAAGAACACAAGTAATGTAATTGTTACCGAAAAGAAAGATATGAGTTGAATTTAACTTTATTTAAGAATAACAATGTCAATTTTCGGCAGTGCATTGGGAAAGCCCAGTAAGATCACATGGCAAAGCCGTGTCATCCCCCTTGGGGGAGCCTATGCTCAATTCCCATGTGGCCAAATGTGCAGTAGTTGTGGTTGTTGGTGTTGTTGTTATGTGCGTCAAAGACATATTTTCCTCCCAAAAAATTTACAGTGCTTCTTTTCAGTTGGATGTTGTTGCCTTTTGCTTAATCGCATTCTCTTAGCTTCTTGTATAATGCTTCTATACTATATATCATAATATGAAAATTTCACTTCTTGACTATCTTCCTTCTGAAGTGCAGGTTTTGATTTTGAGCGAGCGGCTTCATTCTGTCACTGCTCAGTTTGACAGGCTTAGATCTATACGCTTTCAGGATGCTATTAATAGAGCATTGCCGAGAAGAAAGATGCGCAAACTACCCAATGCAAAATCTTCTGAAGTCTCTAACTCTGATCTTGCTGAGATCGGAGAGCAGGAGCTCCCTTCTAACTTTGGGAATATTCAAGTTCAGGATCAACTTTTGGATGATGAGACTCGTACTCTCCAGGTTATGTTTTTTGCATGACCTTTTTTATCAATCTCAATTAGTGGGAAATCACTGTATTGATTATTTTGTGTATTATGAACTTCATTGTTCCCTCCCAAACAGATTGAGTTGACAAGCCTTCTAGATGCTGTTCAAGAAACAGAAACAAAGATGGTGGAGATGTCAGCATTGAATCATCTCATGTCCACACATGTCCTACAACAGGCTCAGCAAATTGAACATTTGTATGAACAGGTGAGTAAAGTTCTTTTCCACCATTATTTATATGAATTTGTTTGATTTTAATGTTTCACTCTTTTCATGTATGTGATTTTAGTTGTAGTAGAAATTGACTCCTTGCGGCAGAGAACTAATTCCTCGTTGTTTCTTCCTTTGAGATATTGAGAATAAAAGATGCGGTATTAGGGTACAGGTCAATCATATACTACTGAATTATTATCATAAGTCTCCCTTTGCAAACTGTAAAAACATGTATTTCTCGTTGTAATTGTATTAATTATACCTTGTATATAACATGAGTAGCTGAAGTAAGATCATGTATATAAAATGAAATATCAAGAAATAAGTTGTCGTTGCATTGCCAATGAGGCTGTATGCACAAGCTTAACCCGTAAGAATATGGTTGGCAAAGCTTTGCCTTTTTTGCCTTTGTATTCTTTGCTTACATTAGACTGCATATATGACTCAGCACTTGAAAAAATTAGGTAAATTTAACAGCTTAAGACTCTAAATTAAATTAAGCTTAAACTTTAAACTTTTTAAGCTAATCCTCATCAAAGTTATATCAGTTGTTTTCTCTATCAAAATCAGGTTTGGTATATGTTTTATACTATTCTGTGTAAGAAAGTGCTTTACATCTCTTCATGTGTTATATATGAATACTAATATTGAAATTAAGACCTGGACCAATACGCATATCGACACCACAATTCATAAAAAAAAACACATTAGATATTTACCTAAACCGGTAGGTTCTTGGGCAGATCCCACATTGGCCCCAAAGGCAGTCATCAAAATAGATGGTCTTACCCTTCGACCTCCGCAATGCCACGGCAAACATAGATTGGTATACCATTTGACTCCCTGACCCCCTGAGCTGTCTTGACTTAACTTATGTTTACAATGAAAGAAATTCAAGTTTTGTACGTTCAAGCTATGAAGACTCCCCGGTCAACCTTTATTCTCTATCAGTTTTGTTTGACAGCCAATGGGAGAAAGCTTATGAAGGCGGATCTCCCAAAGAGGGACTGATCGAATGACGGCAGCTCAAGGAAGTCAAATAGAGAGTCTTGACTTAACTAGAACTATATGTATCAAATGACTCAAATCCCACCATGACTACAGAGAATAAGCACAACAATAAAATGTTTGACACTGTCTGTTCAGAGTCGGCTTTGTGCGACGTGATGATATTTATAATTTATTCCTTTCTCTCCCTCCTAAACTGATGCAAGGTATATGCTGCACTAGAGAGTGAGTTTATGGTAATGAGAAACCCTCGATAACAATAGCTTTATCTTCATGTTGTGAGAAAAAAGAAGAAAAAGAAGATGATGAGCTCATCAAGCCTTATCAATGAAATCTATTGTGAGGAAAATAGTACCTCATATAAATCAAAACTAATGTGATGGATAGTACCTCATGTTAAAAAAAATAGCAATGTGAGGATGACAGCACCTCATGTTAATTTGAAACTATGAATTTTTTTCCCCTTACATATATTGATTTAGTAACAAAAATTGATAAATGTTACTAATTAATATATTATCTTGTTAACTTGTTTGGAGATTCACTCTATAAATAGTAATAAAAAAATTATCACTAAGGGGCTGTTTGTTTCAAAACACTTAAAAGATTTGTATGAAATTTTAAAATATGAAGATTTGGGGGACTTATTTAAAGTATGAAAGATTTGAGGGACTGTTGTAGGCGGTGGAAAAGTACAAACTGTTCAGAGGGTGGAGATTAGGGCTTAAACACACACGCGAAAGGAAGGAAACAAAAGATTGCCCTGAAAAATGTGGGAAGTGGACATCATTACACCCTGAGAAACGGGTGGAGGTTAAGGCTTAAACACACATGCAGAAGAAAGAAAACAAAATATTACCCTGAAAAATGTGGGATCGGGCAACATTACATCCTGTATCGCTAATCTACTCACCGATTTCTCACTGCTGATTTGGGAAGCAAATCCTGCATCTGTCTGCTCACTGATTCATTAAATTTTAGTTTTCTGTCATCTATTGATCAGTCATTAAGCTCTCGTCGCCGCATGTTCTTTTCAGGCAGTTGAAGCTACAAATAACGTGGTGCTGGGTAACAAGGAGCTGACACAGGCAATTAAGCGAAACAGTAGCAGCAGGACTTTTCTTCTCCTTTTCTTGTTTGTCCTTACTTTTTCCATTCTCTTTCTCGACTGGTACAGTTGATTCAAAGAAGAATGATCCTCCATATTTCATCTCTCTTTTTGTCATGGGACAGACTGGAGGAAGACATATTAGAAATGGCGAGATGTGTTCCAAGCTTATTTTCGTAGCAATTGTGGGAATTGTATCGATGGTCTGTGCGTCTTCGATTACTCATCTACAACTGTTTCTGTATGTACTGGATAGACACCGGAGAGATATCCGATACAAATTGCTTTTCTGTGTTATGAAAAGCATGTGTGAGGCCGTGGCGGCAACGTCTGAGCTTCTTAGCTGTTCAGCAGCAAGAATTTGAGTGGTGCTCCCTGTATGTGAGGGACGTGTATTTGCAAAATCTCAAACATGAAATATTAGGGCCTAACATATAGATTTCTCTACTCACACCGCTATCTTCTTGAGAAGTTTACACAAAACGTTTTGGCTCTGGAGTTTCCGGTAAAAAAAATAGATGATTAGCTCACGGTGGTCGCTTAAACCATCTAATTTCCATGTTTTTAGCCGTCCTTCAGCAGTAAGTTGCGGGTAAAATCATAATCCCAATGAGAAACAAGTAGAAGCCATGACTAAAGTAACAGATTTTTAACAAAAGAGGCGCGGATGAAATTTGTTTTATTATCCCCCCCTATTTATTGATCATTTGTTGAGTTTGGGCTCGTCCAGCGAACAAGAAACGCTCCTATCCGATAGAAAAGGCCCACGTAACTCTACATGGTGTCGGAGTCGGGCTCGTCCACAGTAGGATCCAATTCTGGCATCTTCCTGAAGATCGACCGAACGTCACTTTTCACCCAACCTCGACGGCCCCAACAGCTCTCTCGAACGCAAAAGAAAACAAAAAAGCAAAATCTCTCGAACCCTCACGACAACTCGAACCTCCCTATAAATGCCCCTCCCCTCATCCGACTCATCATCATCGATCACCCATCGAAAAACAAAACGCGACCGCGACCGAGTCGAAAAAACATTCGGCCTTCCACGCGAACCAAATCAAATTAACATGTCGGTCTGCCCATTCGGATTCGGGTCCCGCAGCGCTTACGACCCGTTAACCTCCTTCGACCTCTGGGAACCCTTCGCCTCCATGTTCCCGTCCGAAACCTCCGCCTTCGTCAACGCCCGCGTCGACTGGAAGGAGACCCCCGAGGCGCACGTGCTCAAGGCAGACCTCCCCGGCCTCAAGAAGGAGCACGTGAGGGTGGAGGTGGAGGACGGTCACGTGCTCCAGATCAGCGGGGAGAGGAGCAAGGAGAAGGAAGACAAGAACGACAGGTGGCACAGGGTGGAGAGGAGCAGCGGGAAGTTCGTGAGGAGGTTCAGGCTGCCGGAGAACGCGAAGATGGATCAGGTGAAGGCGACGATGGAGGACGGGGTGCTGACCGTCACGGTGCCGAAGGCGGAGGTGAAGAAGCCTGAGGTGAAATCCATTGAGATCTCCGGCTGATGGTGATGACCGACGAAGACGATCGACGTGTAGCCGTGGTGTGCTTTGTACGTATCCCCCATTAATTAACTAAGAAGCTGGTTCAGTTGGAGAAGTTTGGGGTGGGGGGGACCGAATAAGGAACGTGTGTTGAGTCTGCGTTTGATTTGCTTGCCCCGTACGTGTGTTTATATAGTTGTTTGAGTCAGTTTGTGTCTTTATGGTCTGTTTTGAAATAAAAAAGAGATATATAATCGTTAATTATAACGCGTTTTCTCATCATATGTTACATGATCACAATTTTCTGGCCGGTGACATGTATGCAAATATGTATGTTGAGGCTTCATACCCGACAACGACGGATACAGAATTTTACGTCGCATCGCCATTGAACGTATCCGAAATTAGAATCCAGCCGAATTTTACAGGCCATTAGCTCGGATACATGAAGAAACAGATTGCCAATTGAATCACGAACAATTTTTTCCCCGTTATAAAAAGTACAGAACAAATCCTTCACGGATCAGCAAGTAGACGGCGTGCAAGTTCTTGAATCAGCCACTTGCAGTTGCTGCTGCAAGTACTGCAAAACAACCAAGCCCCGCAACATTTAGCCAGGGCGAAGCCTTCTTGGTCGCCGCGATAGCTGATCTGAAGAAGCGGGGGGATCAAATCTACATTAGAATTCTCACAGAGACGAGGAATTAAAATAAAGAAGATTTTACTTTTTATTTTTTATTTTGGACTGGATACATGAATTTTATTCTTCCATTCTCTTTTTAGTAAGGGCCCCAACTAAAAATTATCTTACTTCCAACCGAGCATTCCTTTTGTGGTCCATCTCTTAGAATATATCTAGGAGTCTATCATAGTGTTCTCATTTTTTTTGTTACGAATTGTGATACACCAAAAAACAAAACAAAAAAAAAAGGAAAAAAAGTGGGGAAAAGGTCAAGACAGTGCACCGAAAAAAAAAAGACAAAACCAAAGCAAGCGATATGGCAGATAATTATATAATTGAGCACCGAGAGCTTGTAGAGGGAAAACAAAACACAAGACTTGACCCAGTGAAGGCTATCATAAGCATGCATGCTTTCTTCTAAAAATCCACCTCCAAAGGAATTAAGGCTCGGCATACTTGATTATTTATCCATGAAAAGATGAAAATTTTGTTCCATGAAAAGATGAAAATTTTGGTTCCTTGGCATGCATTTTTAGAAAAGCCTCGTGCATAATCCAGGCTACTGAGCATGCTATCCTAATTTAAAAGCTACTAGTATAGTGCACGTGCATTGCACATAATTATATTTGTTCATGTCCTTCATGTGTTTCGTGGATAGGAAAATGATAAAATTATGTAATGCAAAAAATAGAGATATAAAATAAAGAATTAGAAATAAATTTTGGTCATTCTAGAGTAAAATGATGCAACCTGGAATAAAAATTAGCATAACTATTTTCATCATTAGTTGTTACATTTCTCAGGCTGAAGGATCCAATAGTGAAAATAATAGTATGGATATGTAAATCTAATCGAGGGCACCATATAGTATAAACGTCCATATGCTTCATAATCCGGTGATTTAGGGAGTAGCAATATTAACACTCAAATTCAAAAAGGAATAGATGATAGAAATATAAAGTTGAACTAACTTGTAAGAGAGAACAAGAGCTAAACTGCCTTCTCTACATCGGAAATTTCATAATATAGAAGAATGTAATGAAAAAATTAGTTAATAGCTAAAAAATAAAAAAATCTAACCGATTGACCAACAAGAAGCTTAGTTTATCAATAACCTCACCAAAAATAAATTGTAAAAAATGGTCATTTCGATAGTACTCCCCTAAATCTTTCGTATTTTGAAATAGCCCCCTAAATCATTGATGTTCCTTAATATTCCGTAAGTTATTTTAAACTTAATCCCTCCAGTAATTGAAATTGCTAATAGGTTACTCGATCTTTAAGTTATATTAAACTTAACCCCTCAATCCAAAACGTTCACCATAACAAAAATGTTAATAACCAACACTTCTTGCATTATCAAGTTCAACGTTGTGTGAACCCACGTGAATGACGTGAATGAATTCACGTGAAGACTTGGGAAAACGTGTGAAGAGATGAACTTAAGTGTGGGGGCCACCTACCACGTGAATCAGCGGAGCTTTTTAGTTTCCGCGTGAGATTTGAGGGTCAGGCCCACCCGATTACAACAATATTAATACCCTAATGTTTTCCCTAGGGTTCGGTGCAGGAGGTTGGTGTTGTTTCTTTTGCGGCTGTGGAAAGGACGCAAGAGGCAGAGGGGAGAAAGGAGAATTGATTGGCGGCTGCAAGGTGTGCAGGGCAATTGAGAAAGGCAGAGGCGGGAGTCTTCTTGCTGGCTGGCGGCTACGAATTGAAGCAGAAGGACCGGATCTTGAGGATTGCGGCTACAGGGTTTTGCGGCTGCACAAAGTCCTTTTGTAGTTGTTTTTGGGTTTTGTGTCTCCCCCTTTGAGAGAATATTTGTGTGAGGGATCTGAGAGTTTGTGAGAGGGTTTTGTCTGTGAGATTGTAAACCCTAGTTGTATCTCTCCCTCTAATAGTAGATCTCCCCCTCCTTGCCCCGTGGACGTAGGCAGTTTGCCGAACCACGTAAAATTGGTTGTTTGAGTTTGTGGCCATTGTAATAGTTATTAGGATCCCTCGACAGGTCAGTCCTAGAACTGATGAGAGGAAGAGCCGATATCTCACTTGGTTGAGATATCCGCTTCAGATTCTTGTAAATACTGCCAAAATACGAAAATCCGACATTAACTAAAGAATAAAAAGATAACGAGTTCTAATGTTCATTAGCTACTATAGAGGAAAACACATCTAGACTTCGGTTTGTTCTTCAACTCCATCGGCAGGATACTCCGGCTCGGCATACACTGGCTCTGCATCAACATCTAGCTAGACCTGTCTGTCTCCTAAGTCTGACGCACACCAGAAAAACAGGTGTACGTCAGGGTGCATGGCACTCGGCAAGATATCACATGAACAAATAAAACGGTCTAACGACACATACTATAATGATAGGAATACTAACAGGAAAGACAATACTACATGCAACTGGTAATCAAATAGTAACATACAGCTATGTGAGTACGATAACTGGGTCAAATACTAACCAACCTAACACTCAATGGTCCACATCTCACACAGAGCCAACGCTCCTGTCATCGGATAACTGACTGTTCACAAATCCCCTACGCGCATCCAATGCCGCTACACGAATCGGTCAGAGGACTACACGTAATCCGATTTCGGCCTGGTCCGAACTCAAGCAGAACTCGGGTGACTACACAAATTCACTGACTAAAGTGACTACACGAATTCACTTTAGCCCAACAAACCAACCCCAGTGACTACACGAATTCACTGGTGCGAGCCTGGAAGATACATCAACAATCTTATCCGATCACATGAACACTGACTTCCCCATCCCAACTCTCTTGTATTTTCTAAGTTAACCATAATCTCATTGAAACTCGGGTTCACCGCCTAAACTCACACATGTCACTAAGTCTGTTCATGACGCACAATGCTACTAAGTCATGAACCACTAGGGTTCTCAACACATCAACAGATCATAAATATAATAAGGCATATTAAACATGATTAAGCAGTTTTATGAAGCAGAAATAAGAACTGTAATGAACATGAAATGCTTAAACAAATTACAGCATGAAAGTAAAACATGAGGGAGCTTCATTATTATCTTACTACTGGAATGTCCGAACTTCTCATACAAAATATCTGTACTTACGTATTCTTTAATATAATAATACGGTAAATAGAAAACTAGAAACCGATGTCGTTTTGCACATGAAATGTCGTGCTCTACGACGATCCGTCATACAATCATAAATAATAATATTCTTTTCCCAAAATTATTCTTTAAAACTATTTCTCATAATAATTAACTTAAAATACAAAAATATATATACATAAAATTGTTAATTCCTTTCTACATGAACAATAATATTTTCCTATTTTATAAATTACCTTAATTAATTACTTTTCGATAAAAATTACGTAAATTCAAATTTTAACACATAACTTATCATTTCATGTCCGAAAATAGTTATATATAAATATACAAAATTATTAATGTCTCGTAAAATCTATTTACAACACATATACTCATCATTTCATGCACGTTAAATTCTCCGACATAATTACCACAAAATATCTCCATATTACCCCTAAAATATTATCTAATACTATTTATCCACATTCCACGTCAAATATTCACAATATGCACATTACCGATATTATCAAATCTAATTAAATTACTTAATCAATAATAATTGTAAAACGGGAAAATACGAAGATGCGAGATATTGCCTACGGGACGGTGCGGATCTGTCGAGTGGCTGCCGGCGAGGAGGAGGCGTTCGACGGCGTCGTCGGGGCTGCTCGGGGTGGCGCTGTGGCTGACGGACAGAGGAGGGCGGCGGTCAGGCGAGGCGCTGGCGGCTGACGGCTGTCGTGGGAGCTGGGTGAGGGCTCGACGGCGATAGGGGTAGGGCGGCGTCGTCGGCGATCTTGGAGGCGGAGACGAGCGCGGGTCTGGGCTGGGAGTGGTCGGAGCTCGGGTGCAGGCGGCGGGTTTCGACGGAGAAGAGCGGCGGAGAGGGGGTTCAGGCGAACGGCGGCGAGCGGGGGTGGTTGTCGTGGTGTTTTTGGTGCTGGGGGCGGTGAGGTCGGGTTGGGGAAGAAGATTGGAGGATGGAGTTTTTGAGATCTGAGGGAGAGAGAGATGGTTTAATATTATATGTATATTTTGATAGGGTTGATAGGGGGTGTACGGGAGAGTTAAGGAATGTTTATTTTATGGAAGGGGAGAGAGAAATATGGGAGTAAAATGCATGTTGAGCTAATACAATATTTGATACGAAATAGTTGAAAAATACCCATATTGTATAATTAAACAAGAATAATTAATAATAAAAATATATTTACTTACATTTAAAATCAGATAATTATGGGATAATTATCTATATAGTAAAACGTACAAGTTATACTAATACGATAGATAATATGTAACAATAAAAATAATACAATAAATTATATACAGAAATACGTAATTAATAATACAAAGTATTATACAAAATAATACGTAATAGTATTAACAATACAACATATTATTTAAAATAATACGTAATAGTACCGGTAACGTAACAAATTAATTTTAGAAAATTTTACTGCACAAAATAAATTTATAAATAACAAAATCATTTAAATAAATA